AAATTTTATTAAAATAGGGAATCATTAAATTGATATGTACATGCCTTAAGTATTTTATTTAAAATATAACATATATTCACTTGTCAATTTCTGAAAAGGAGGTAGGGCCTTTCCTGTGCATATAATTCTAATAATTACCACACCCATTAAATATTGTCTACAATGTCCAGTTTGAGTTTCTTTAAAATGGGCTAGGAATTCAATATCGGGCAAACAATCTAAATGTATAACTCTACATTTTTATTACTGTTTTCCTGTTGCCTTCTCATACCTAATTTAACAGCTAAGTTTTTAATCACTTAACTTTGTCCATTGGTACTCTATAAGCCACTCTAAGTAATATGGGAAACAACTGTGGTTTTGAACAAAGAATTGGGTCATCTGAAATATAATCTAACAGAATTGTTCTGGCTGTTCTGTTTGAGAATGTGTGTGTGTTGGGGGGGGGTGCCCTTTGTGCACTCTATACTCTATAAATATTCCAATGCAAAAACAATTGTAGCTCTTTCTAGTGTTTGCATTTCCTTTTAGCCTCAATTGTGACTAGCAAAAATATGTAGGCATCTAGGAAAACCAGGATCCAAAAAGTATGACAGACTTTAGAATCATATCAGAAAGCATGCAATTAGGTGGGAAGCAACATAGTCTTTTCAGGGTTTTAAGGAAGAAACAAAGATGAACCAGGAATAGATCCTGAAGAGACTCCCAGTCCCTACCACCCCATTTAGCTAATTGGCTCTCAAATGCTTAGGCACATTCGAATTTCCTGGGGAGCTTTAAAAATACCATTTCCTGAACCCCGTATCAGGTATACTGATGCAATTGGCCTGCAGTGGGGCCTAGGCCTCATTATTTAAAAAAAAAAAAAAAATCCCAATTAATTCTAGTGTGCACCTAGCAATAAAATCAATTGTTTTTCAAGTCTTTGTAGGTCTTTTTATCCTAAGACGGTCTTGGGCAACTTATAACTGATTACCTCTATCATTTAGGACCAAACTCATTTTGGCTACAGGAATTTCAGCTGGCATCTATGACCTTATTCTCTTGAGTTTCGGCAGTGGAGGGGAGGATTATCTTTAGGTTGGGTCCGAAGGTGGGGTCATTTCCTTCATGTGGGGGCAAAGAAATATTATTAGCCTTACAGCTATATTAGGACTCTTAATAAGGCACAGCCTAAACTAACAGGCAGTCTAGAACTGTGGTTCAAATTTTTTCTCAATTATTCTGTGTGGGAATGGACCGTACAGTATTCTTCAAGGAAGGATTGAGAATGTTGCCACAGAGAATATACCTACTTCATCTTTCTCTGCTGACTGGTTTACTACTGAAATCTGTGAATTACTCTTATTAGGCGCTAAGAATCCTATCTTGTGTCAGTGGCCTTAAAACCATCCAGTTTATGATTTATGTTAGGAAGCCTTTAAGATGGCCTCTAATGATCGCTGCTTTCTGGTATTTATGCCTTTGTCTTATTCTCTCCCCTTAAGAATAGGCAGAAATGATGGAACATCACTTTCAAGATTAGGTTATAAAAATACTGTGGCTTCACTTTGGGGCATGCTCTCTCATTCTCTGATTCCTTGCTCTGTTGGAAACAAACTGCCATGTTGTAAGTTATTCTATGGAGAAGTCCATGTGGTGAAGAACTGATGTTTCTAGCAAACTGGCGATGACCGAGTGGATTCCTCTCCAAGTTGATCATTGAGATAATAGATGACTACAGCCCTGGCCAACACCTTGATTGCAGCCTTATAAGAAATTCTAACTAGAGACACCTAGCTAAACCATGCTCAGGTTCTGACCACATAAACTATGAGATAATAAATATTTTCTGTTTTAAGTTTTAGGATAATGTGCTGTATAAGTAATACATAGCTGAATTGGTCAGGAGAAAAGCTTACCATCTCTAAACTAACTGTTATTATTCATCTCACATTTTAATTGTTAGAATATAAGTTCTGATGATATGAAAGAAAATAAATTTGTATAAGCTCTCACAAATTTAATAATGTTGATTTGGAAACTGGAACCACATAATAATCCGGAAGTAAAAGGAAAATATAAGAAGCATCTTCTCAGGTGAAAATAAAAATAGGAATTTTGGGGAAGAGATTAGGACTTTGTTATTTCTTGCTTCTTGTCAGTTCTCCTCAAGAGAAAATAAATTTTTCTGACAAACCATTCAAAGTTAGAGGATAAGTGGGAGCATATGTAAGCCTGAAGGAATATCAGCTTCATTGAAAGCAGCAGCTTCACTGAATAAATATAGAAGTGGAATAAAGAGTATCCTGACAACAGTGCTGACACAGCTAGACATGAAGTTTTAATAAACTATTTCATATTAAGAACTCAAACCACAGAGACAAATTAATAGACAAATTAATAGATATTTTCTAAGGCTGATAATCATCTGGTACCCACAAGTTAGTTGCAATGGCCTGCATCTATTCTGATAGATCAGTGGCATGTACTGATTGTCCAGTAACCACATGAACTAGTCATTAAATATTTTTAATATCAGTCCTGTTCATAGTGAACTTTAGAAAAAGTTTTGGTTTTCTTTAGCCATGTGTCATCTGTTTGTAAAGTTGGACTATGATAGGTAGCGGATCTCTTGTGTCTTATCAATGCTCAAGTATATGCCACTAAGGTAATGGTGTAAATGAAGCTGCATGATAAAACTTATACATCTTTCTGATGCATCACTTTTACTCAGTGGTGTGAATTTCCTATTAAAGCAAACACAAAAATATTATGTAATAAAATGCAAAAATTACATGGGTCTTAAGAAAAAGGAGATTTTCAAAATAAAAATGTATATTTGGTGGGCAACCTTAGACTCTCATTCTCTACCTATACTATTATTGGTATTTCAGTAGAAAATTGTGAGAGGCACTGATGTAGGGTATTTGTGATTATAGAGTTGCTTTCACTAAAGCTGGTCTCTTACTTCATCTCTGTGTTCTTTGTCACTCTAGAAGTGTGAATTCTAAGAGAAGGAAACTAAGAATTTACCTCCAGCATCCCTTCTCTTCTGTCATTAAGTTGACTTTATAGCCAACTCAAAGACTGACAATTTATATTATGGCTTTTTATGTAAAAATGTTTTAGATTGCTAATCACATTGAAAATATCTTGTTATTTCTTTTAACATTTTATTTTTTTAAATTTTTTCCTTCCTTATTATTGGAAACCTGTGTATTTAACCAATATTCTCTTTCAAATTCTCTTAGAAAAGGTTAGTCTGTTTATACGGATATTTTGCACAATGCTCTCCATTTGTAAATAAAGAGGTACGTGTAAAAGTTGAATAGTAATTAGGATTGGAAATTGCATCATTTCTTTCATCCTTTGACTCAGAGCCTCACAGTATTGACTAATTATTGTAAATGAAGTGAATTACCAAAACATAAGTCGCATGCACCCAAATTTAAAATCATATCTCAATAGAAAAAAAAATTTTTAAAGGAGAATACCAGCTAATAATCCTAATAATCTAAGAGTAAGAAGTACATACTAAGTGACCTAGACTCTTCTGACAGCTCTCTGCCTAAGCAACTACATGACTTTGGATGTAGCACAATCTTAATTTCCTGGTCTGCAAATGAATAAGAGGGACTAAGGCCCATGGCAATTTTAAGATTCTAGGATTCTAAGTGTATATAACCAGTGCAAGTTTTATTTTCTAAAATTTGCATGATAAATATAAAAAAGAGGGGGACAAAGAATTAAAGCGTTTCTAGAAACATTACTGGATTGGAATTACTGCTAAATATTTGTTTTCTTAATTCAGCACCACTGGGTAATTTGATCATAACTATAAATTCATAGACAAAGAGTATTTGGTCCTAACATAGCTTGTACCTTGTATGTACATAAACTGTTTCTGCTTAAATTTCCATATAATCATGTATCACCCTAACTTTTTTAAATGAAGTAAAATTAGTCTCATTATGAATTTACTTTTATATTCAAATATTGAATCAAACAGTATGAAAATTGATTGTGGGCAGACATTCTGCTAGATTCTTAGGAAACAAATACGAAAAACATAGTTCTCCTCTGCCCTCACATGTTCACAGGACTCCAGTCAGAAAAGCCTGGTATAGGAACCAAGGCTAGCAAGACTCTTGAATCAGATAGCAGTTAAGAGTATCACTCATGGCATCTCCCCAGAGTATATCTAAGAAACTAGAGTATGTCTAGCCACAAGAAAATCAAATGAATCTGTTGTTTCTGTTGACGGCCTTTTCATGTAACTCTCTCCTATGAATGTATTACCAGATAACATTTATATAAAATAAAAGGACTTGAATGACAAATATTTTGAAATTAAAACCACCATGGTGAGCATACTAATAGTTTAATTTAGATAAATGTTGACCTTCTGTTAATGAATACATAAAGGGCTACCGAGATCTGCCAATGGAAAAGTTATGAGTGGAACTTTATTTTTTGATAAGCCATTATCTGTATCCTGACCTCAAGCCTTCATAATATTCAGGCCTTCATTATTCTATTTTGGCATTGGAGATAACAGGAAAATAACTTTTAATGCTGCCATATTTCGAATGGCAAAGATTTCTAGAAATTAGAAAAAGGGCTAACTTTAAGTATGCATGTTTTTTTCTACTTATGAACTCGAGTAGAGCCTAACTTTAAAACCCTGTGAGTTCTTTTATCTGCAGTGATTTTACTTATATGATTCCACTTAATGGGCAAGAGTATGTGGCAAAACATACTTCACATTTTTGTGTTGTTCCCTATGAGACATCTATTGTAAGAATTGCTGCAGGCTGTCATTTTTGTCTGTCATCCAGGATTTGCTGGCCCCACTGCTGTGTACTAAACTTGGTGTTGCTCACAACAGGGAGGGGGACCTTGCAGTTGGGCCAGACAGTTTTGTTATTGCTTTAGAATTAAAAGCATATGAAACAGATACTGCTTATTAAGGTTGTGTTTTTATAAATAACATAAACTTAAATGACAAAACAATTAAGTTCAAATACATCTTAAAATAGAGTTTAATGCTATAACCACAGAAAAAAAGCATGATTATTTGTGGGGGGAAAAAAACATTATTAAAAGCCATATTCCTGAATATGAATGATACAAAAGATAGATTATGTTATTGAAAAAAAACTTACAAATTTTTGAATTTTAACTTTTAGGGATTATAAAATGTTATTTTGTGACAAGTGAGATGAAGTACAGTATTATCATCATTATTGCTAATTTATATACAAAATTTTGAAAAACATCTTTGTAGCAATACCCTTTCAGTTTGAGCAGCATTAGGAATTTTGTTCTTATTAATAAGTAGAAACATGGTCTAATCCTATATTTTTGTAAAACTACCTATTTGATTCAATCTCATAATAGAATTTTTGAGAATATTCCTTTTTTTCTGATCAGAATTTAAGTGAATTATAATTTTTCAGTGGAAAGCATTTCAAATACTGCTCATCTTCCATAGTTAGCATTGGCTTGATTATCTGACAAGTCATTCCAGCAGCCTTTAGGTCTGACATATCTTATATAACATCATCTGCATTATTATTATTATAGCAGCCATTTAATAAGCAGATAGGAATATTTAAATAATCATCAGATAATCAACTCTAACATACTCTTAAGGGTAAATTAATTTAAGAAAAAACATTACTATTACTAACATCATGATTGTACAACCAGTTTTACAATTTTTTACAACTTTTAGTTACTAAATCTGATTTTTGTGTATATTTTTCAAATCTTTCTTTAATGCAGTCTCTTAAAATAAACATAAATGCACAAGTCCAGCTTGATCAGTTTTTCAGTAGTTTTCCAGCCTTTCTTGGTTACTTAAAAAAAAAGAAAAGAAAAAAGAAAGAAAACAGTCCACTTAAAGAAATCTCCCTGCTGGAACTGGTTTCTTATATACCATATATGATTAGGTTATTGCCATAGGAAGAAAGTGAGCTGTTTTTTGTTCTTTCTTCGTTTTTTTCCCTTTTACAGGAACACCCTTCTGATTTAAGGCAACAAACATTTCTCTTCCACTGTGTGTCCATTTAGCTGATGCATATGTGTTGTAATGGTTTTCCAGAATTAATTCTTTGAAGTTGCAATCTTCATTACATTCTTTCTGTTAAAACAACAAACATTATCCAAATGATTTTTAGAGGGGCTCAATTAAACAAAGAGTAAGTGGTAATATTTGGTAGAATTAAAACATAAATGACTTTTTCTTTGAGCAAGTGTAATGCAGTTTATTAGATATAGGTTAGCATATTTACAAATAAACATCTTAAATTTAAAAAAAAAGATAAAATGATACACATTGAATTATGCAACATGAAGCTTTTGGCAGTCCATTGCCACTATGCCTTAATATTAGAACCTATTTCCCCCTAATTATTATATTATTATATTATTATTATCTCATATTATTATGCACAAGTCACTCATTCTCTAACCACTGAGATTTTGATATAGTTAGCAGAAGTTCTGCCTTCTCCAGCTGAAAGACGTATTTCTCAACTTTTCTTCATTTACTACTACACTGCCTGCAATAATTATGGAAAATAAAAAATTTATTTATTTGTTCGTTCATCCACCCATTCATTCATTCATTCATTCATTCAGTTAAAACTATATTTTTATGTAATAAGCCTGTGCCAGATATTGTGCTGGGCTATGAGAATACAAAGGAAAGTCAATTATACTTTATTACAGTGGGGTGAACTGTTTCATATTTCACATTGTAATAAAGTGGGAACAATGGGAATATTTGCAGTTCAAAGCCCATGATTTTGAGACTAATGTTAATAAACAAAGTTCTGGATTTTTTTCCCCAAGAAGTTTCACATCAGCAATGTGCAAATTGAGTGAACTTTAACGAAAAGAGCTTTAATACTGACTGATAGAAATGTCAGATTTTAAGCATCTAAAATGCACATGGAATGTCAGAGCTATAAGGATCCTTAGAATTTAGTTAATCCAACTCATTTTACAAATGAAGAAACCAAAGTCCAAAGAACTTAAGCAATTTGTCCAAGGTCACTCAAAATGCATTTTCTTTTAAATATAAAATTTTGTAATAAAATCATTAAATTATATAGTTAGAGAGAAATTAATTCTATTTTTACTTTTCAAAAGGACAAGATGTTTTTGATAAAAATAAGTTTGAAAAATTAAGGCTAAACTATCAATTATCAATACCTTTGCATAGAGTTTTCCTTCTTTGTTCATTGCAAGAAAATATTCACTTTCCACCCCTTTGATTGCCACAATTCCAACCTCCACTGTCCTGATTTCCATGATATCTGCAAGGAATCACAGAAAGATATGTCGGTTATTCATTCACTTGGCAGATGATGCAAGAATGGCCATTTGTTTTTATCTCTGTTTCAATTACAAATTAAAATTATTAGTTTGGTTATTTATTTAGCCTGAGGCCCTCTACCCATAACACATACACACAAACATCAGATTACTAATCCTTACTAAATATGGAAAGTGCAGACTATTGATTTTTTATTTTGTAGAAAAGATACCTGGATTTAAAGAAATAGTTACATATTTAAATTTAGATTTTTCCCTCAAAAATTACATTTTTAATTTACAATAAAAATATGATTATAGTAAAGGTATACTGAACTCAGATCACATGTACTCTTATGTACTATCACTAAGACTATGAGGCAAGTACTGTTGTTATCCCCAGTTTACAGATCAAGAAGCTCAGGCATTGAGAAATTTAGTAATTTGCCCAAATTCTCTCAGCTGAGAAGTGATAGAAATGGAATTTAAACCCAGAGGGTCTAGCTTTTAATCATGATATAATACTTCATATGAAAGTATATAATAAGCTAACATCTTTATTGTTATACTTAAACTTTATTTTAAAAATTATTGCTAACAATACTTCTTCAATATACTGAAATTGAATAAAATCCAGTTGAAGCAATTATAAATGATGGTTAATAGAGTCTAGCTTTAAAAAAAGGTTCAACATTTTAAACTGATAGTTTGATACATGAAAAGATAATTTAAAACCAAATTATGAATCCTACTCCTGTTATTTCATAACTTTATACCTTTCTAATTAATTTTTAATCTGTTGAAATTGTTTTTATAAACATGTAGTTACCACAAGAATGTTAACCTATTATTTTCCTTTATTATATATCTTTTCCTCAGTGCTATATTTTAACGACTCATACTAAATACAGTAAAATCTCAAGAAATTTTTAAAGACAATCTGAGAATTAAAAGTTTAGTGAACTTTTTTATGTAATTGCTGTTAGTTATACTTTCAACATGAAGGTGCAGCCATGAGACTCTCTTCCCTGTGCTTAACACAATGCAAAGAAAATTTCAAGTAAAAATTATCTGCATAAATCAAAACTCCAAACTATTTTCTAAAATATGCATTTAATGAAAGGAAAAGCTGACTTGTTTTTTAACCCTATGCCTTTACTTCATTCTCGTATTTATTCTTTTTGCTTCAATTTTCCTATTTGGAGAATAAAATTATTATTCACTTCATCAGGATTAATGTAGCCTAGCTAATATTTGTCATCTGTTTCACATGTGTGCTGCGTGTATCAAAGCCATTTTCCCCTTTATTAGACTTAGCACTAGTCAGAGCTCTTCCAGTTGAGTTTTATAGCTGCTCATCTAAAAACTGGGGTCTACAAAAAATGCAAAGGAATGAATATTAATCTTTTAAAGTATTTATGAAACATCAGAAGGCATAGAACTGTACTGTAATTTTAGGATACATATTAAGAAAAATAGCCCTTGTTTCTGAACTCTTTAACTTCTGAAGTTAAAATCTAATAAAAACAGCAAACACATCCATACGTATACCTTTATTGAAAGAGAAGAAAACTTTTTGAAAAACACAGCCCTTAGGAGAAGACTAAGGGAAATTTTAACAATTGCTTATAAACATATGTAAAATGCAATGCTGAGACATTCATGCAACATTCAACAAATCTTCATTGAGAGCAGTTCTGTGCTAAGCTCAATTCTGAGACAAAATCTGCCTTCTTAGAGCACTGTATCTGGTAAGTAACTCTTTCATAATTCTTTCAAGTTCATAAAAAGGAATTTCAAAAGAGAATATTTTACTACGCGGCAGAATCCAATTAGGTTAAATTTGTACCAATACAATGAAGAATACTGAAGAAATTCATTGATTTAACATAGTTGCAATGCCTTCAAAATTGAGTAAATGTTTCTTGTTAAGGACATATGGTGTAGTTGGTTTCTAAAGATCTCACCACTGTAAAATATGAAAAAGTGTTTTCCTTTCCTTCAAGTTCATTTACTATTGCTTTTCCTCCATTTTCAACATTATGGAATGGAAAATAGATGGAAAGGCGAATACTAATGAATAGGCTTAGGATATCTATTATGCTCAGTTGTAATTAGAGAATGGAATCTGTAATGTTTGCTGGCTTTTCTTTTGTAGACCAGCTGTCCACAAAATATAACTGTTGATAGAGGTATCGTTAATTACAATATGTAGACACCTTCTCTTTCAGGTTGTCATAACGACATGTTCATATTGTCCGACCTCCAAACCTTTTTTCCCTATTATACTCTGCCTATCCATTGCCCATCTTATTTTTATTGCATTCTGACACTTAATAGGTGATGAACATTGTTAATCTTATTCTTCCACATATTGGGGTTAACAATGTCAAAAAATCTTTACATAGTTAAAGTTCAAAGGTGGGCAAAATATCTGAACAGATACCTGGCCAAATAGATATACATATGGCAAATAAGCACATGAAAAGACGCTCAGTCTTTAAAGAGTCCACCTTTAATTAGGAGTAGGATAGACTTAAAAATAAGTTTCCTGATCTAAGAATGTTCTTAATTGTTTGTTGTATTTAAAAAATAGCTTTCACGAGGGAGTCAACAGACTTAAAAGTAGAATGCCTGAAAGAGCACTCAGTAGTGTTGGCAGAATCGATGCTCTGTCTACTCTAACATTCTAGTCTATTTTTCCCTATGTGCTTTACACTCTTTTAGTCAAGAGAACCCAAGAATGAAGAAACTCTTTCGTTCGAGTGCAGAGTGAGAGGTGATGTTCCTACAGACCCACAAAGATCTGTGTAGAAGAATTAATTGTGTAAGCTTATGATACCCTGCCCTCCAAACCAGAATCCAGGTAGTTGCTCAGAAAATATAATATAACAATATATAGTGTGCCGATGTTAATTTAGCTACGAAAATAGTTATACATGGTCTTTTTGTCTACAGTGTATCTTTGCTTTGTATAAGACAAATATAGGGATTGCCTTTTTTGTGGATCTGGATTTACATTTAAGAAGTTTATAGGTATGAGTAACTGAGTAAATTTACTCTCAAAGATGTAAGGTGTACTACATGGGCGCATCAAATTATTAATTTCATGACCATGGTTGTTTAATGATAAAGTTCAAAAAAATAAAAGACAGATCATCTTATACAATAGAACATGAAAAAATGAACCAATATGTCAAGTACATTGGCCATTTAGCCTTGTTAACAATGTTGTTAACAATAGCATCAATTCATTACTTAGCATGTCACCCTTACAAACTAGGGAATGTGCCCAAAATAGCTTCTCTGTTTTTTTTCTGAGTGATTTCTGTTAAAATTATTCATGAATTTATCTAAACCTTTTGCTTATTTATTATTTAAACCTGTATCACACTTGCAATGAGAGATGAGGAACTTTAGTATAAAATGCTATTACTTTTGTAAAAAAATTCTCCAACATCTACTGCCAGAATTTTAGGTGTTCCCCTTGTGTACTTCAAAAAAAATAATAATAATAATGCTAATTCTTTGTTCTTACTATCAACAGCATTTATGATTTTAAAATCCTTTAACTTTCCTGTTTGAAAAAATATATATTTTATTAAGAAATTACTTTTTTGATCAGTTTTGGTTCAAAGCAGAACTGAGGAGAAGGTACAGAAATTTCCCACATACCCCCTGCCCCCACACATGCATAGCCTCCCCTATTGTCAATGTCTCTCACCAGAGTGGTGCATTTGTTATAATTAATGCACCTCCACGGACACATCATTATCACTCAAAGTTCAGAGTTTACATTATGGTTTACTCTTGGTGTTGCACATTCTGTTGGTTTGGACATGTATCCATCACTATGGTATCATACAGAGTACTTTTACTGCCCTAAAAATCCTCTGTTCTCTACCTTTTCACCTCTCTCCTTTACACCCAACCTCAGGACCACTAATCTTTTTACTGTCTCCATAGTTTTGCTTTTTCCAGAATGCTATACAGTTGGGATCATACAGTATGTAGCCTTTTCAGATAGGCTTCTTTCACTTAGAAGTATGCATTTAAGCTTCTGAACCTTTTAAGCTTTATAGTTAAAAATTTTGAGGGGGCATATATTAATATAAATGTGCTAGCATAATAACTAAAATTATTTTAAAGTTGAAAATAAGTTTCATACTGAACACTACTAGTTGAAAGTTGAAAGTTGAAAATAGTTTCATACTGAACACTACTAAATGTACTCTTACCATACTATTCAGCAATCCTGCCTCTAGTATTTACCCAATTGATTTGAAAACTTATGTCCACACAAAAACCTGAACATAAATGTTTATAGCAGAATTTTATTCATAATAAAAACTGGAAGCAACCAAAATGTCCTTCAATATATGAATGGATAAACAAACTACGGTAAATCTATACTTCAGAATATTTTTCAGCGATAAAAGGAAATGAGCTATTGAGCCACAATAAGAGGAGGAAGTTTAAATGCATATTGCTAAATGAAAGAAATCCATCTGAAAAGCTACACACTGTATGATTCCAACTGTGCGACATTCTGGAAAACCTTAAAATGTAGAGACAGTAAAAAAGATCAGTGGTTGACAAGGCCTTGGGGAGAGGTTAGAAGGGATAAAAAAATGAGAAGCATAGATTTTTAAGGCAGTGAAACTCTTATGTATAATACTGTTATAGTGGATACATGATATGCATTTGCCAAAATACATAGAACACACAGGCAAGAAGTAAATTTTAGTGTACAGACTAGTTAACAGTATGTGTCATTATTGGTTCATCTATTATAACAAATTACCATCTTAATGCAAGATGTTAATAATAAAACTGTGAGGTGAGCTGTAGGTGGTATATGGGAATTCTACCATCTAGTCAGTTTTTCTGTAAATCTAAAACTGTTCTAAAAAATAGTCTATTAATTTAAAAAATGTAGTCTAGATTTTAATTAATAATGTAATATGATTGTGTGAGAATCTATTTATGCTGGCATTTTTTA